GGCTTATTTAATCGATTTTAGAGTCTACTAATATGTAGAAAATACACTATAATTTTTTTCTCCCCGACGAATCGAGCTTTTTCTCCCCGACGGGGGGGGGGGGAGCTCTCCCCCACTGGCGCCACTCCTGCCATATATCAATGAGAACTACCGTACGATGGTGGCACAAAGCATTCTTACTTTTGTGTCCTGATTTTTATATTTTAATCTTCAAACATTAAATTTTAATGGCTGGCACAGTTGCATATTAAAAACGTAGCACTGTTTTCATGGTACTGAACCTTACACTACTTGCACCACTCAGTTTTGTTTTTTTAGAATACAGTGACTTAACAATTTTTCTAGAATTTATTAGCCTCATCAAATGAAAGTTGAAATAAGCTATATTGGAGTGCCTATTATAATTGGCTGCATTTTAGTCCTAGCGATTTGTACAAGATGCAAGATATTGTTTTAATGCATAATGAGATAAATACAAAGTTTGGTTCTAGTTGCTAAAAAAAATTAATACATTAATGATTCATTGGATTCCGTTGCTAAACAACTTACCTACATTAATGTTTCAGTCATTTAGAAATCGAACACAGAATGAAATTCAAAGGAAATAAATATTCAATGCTTATAACAGATGTTTTGGCCCAGACAATGTTACAGTAGCTCAGATAAGGAAGACTACCCTCTAATTATGCTGTTCAGAGTAGTCTCAGCCGTGGTCTCCCTTTAGAGGGTTAATTGCAGACCGAAGCCCGCGACCACTGCAGCTCTTCAAGTCCCAATGTGGTCTCCAATTGGAGGGCACATTGTAGAATACAGAGATATCAACTCTAAACACTAATTTGTCACCATATTACCATATTAATGTATAATGATCCTCCACCGCTTGTTGAATAAATATTATAAACTTATATACAATTGACGTAAATTGTATCCAAGAGGAAGGTTCATGAACACATAGTATAGCCTTGTTTTTCTTGTTTTTGAAGATGATATTCCAGCCTGGTTAACCCCCACAGGAGGTGCAGGACGGTAGGCCTGGTTTTTAACAACACTTTCCTTAATTTTTGAAGAATAAATACCAATTTTTATATGATTTCTAAAATACAAGCAGTGGCGAATTTAGAAAGGCGTACGAGCCTTTTTATGTTTGTTAAAACATCTTTTTGTAAAGCTTACTAGATTACCATGTTAATATAGTAAAAATATATCAAATACAATCTCAAATTATTGAAGATACTAAAGCTTTCTTCGGTGATTCGCCTCCTTTTAATCCTCTCCCCGCCCTAAGACTCTATCTCCCAGCACAATTCATGTCCCAACCCCTTACCATACTGGAGCCGACCCTGATAATTATCATTAAAGCTTCTGTTCCAGCTTTAATTCAGACTTCTCTATTTGGATCCACCTCGTTACCAACCACACACACAAGATACAATAGTGTACCAAGCTGTATTTCCAGAGTAGGCCTATTTTAAGCATCATCATGTATAGATCGACAACATGAAATAATGGTTCTTATGATTTGTGCCACACCCTTGTTTATGTCAGGTAATGTCTTCCAGTAAATAATTGCATTGGTCGAAGCGTTTAACAGACCAAGACAGAACGCAAAAAAGTAGACGGTTGTCGTCTCCAAACAACGCTCTTCCTCAGGCAGCCCGGCATATTGACTGCTATAAATGTGCAGAGATTCCACTATCCAAGGTAACCAGCAGACTGCATCTGCTATCACCAGTCCGACGTACGCTTTCAGGATCAATTTGGTCTTTTCAAACTTCTTTCTGCCCAGTGCCGCAGTCATGTTTTCTTCGTGTTTACGAACTTTTCTAAAGATTAAAGTATACAGCACTGCGGTTGCATTAACTACGACTAGACTTATTATTGGGCTCAGGGTATATGTAACCACGCGGTATACATCACGGTCCACCAGTAGAAGAGTTACAAACATCGTCATGGGGACAATCCAGAGAGCAACGGAGATAGCGTAAAGTGTACGTCGTTCGGTGTTTAGATCCACATTCCTTGGAAAGTAGAAAATACGGTAGAACCGGTCCAGTGCAATTGCCAGATGGATTGATGTTGACGTGAAACATAGACTGAATGTCAGCATGCAGGTTGTAATATCTTGCAGGATGATCCAAATTGTGAGGATTATTCCCATTAGAATGTCCACTAAACTCAGGTTAAGAATTAAAATATTCCTGGTCTTCGGTAATTTTCTTTCTTTCATTGGCTTGCCTTCCTTAATCTCTCTTTTCCAAAAGATCGCAGCAGAAACTAGTAAATTCCCAAATACAGCAATGGTAGTTGTTACGATAACGTAAATAACAAAAAATACAACTCCGGTTGTGTTGTTTCTATTCAGGTGATGTACGGTGGTGCAGTTCCTAGATTCCATTACCCGCGGTTTATGAATTGAAGCTTTGAACAGCTTACGTAAATGTTAATACTTCCTTAGTGCCTTTACTAAGCCTTTTTAAAGAGATGTTTACGAACTGATGTCATATGTTAGGCCAACCAGGAAATGTGCTTTCAGGCGGTGCGGATTTGATTGACATGAGGGCAATAACAGTTGTAGGCCTATGTTTGTTGTCAATCAAAATCAATAATGGCGAAAGAGTTAACCTAATTTATTATTTTAAATATTAATGATGTATGTTTCATACATCTACTAGGCATATTTAAAATTAATGAAAGTACGTGAATGCCGTGGCGTCCTTCAAATTTTTTCCCTTAGTGTTTAAAATTTAATAACTACAGCGGCCTGTTATTTCTAAAATTTAATTTGTTAAAATCCACCACTAGCCCCCCCCCCCACTCTTTCCCATTGGTTTTTCCGACAGAAGATTCAGGCGCGTACTCAGATCTAATATGCTCAGTGATATTCCTAAGGTTTTATTGAAATTTTGTAAAACGATAATTTACTTATGGTTTATTAATGAATGATCCAACCCTTTATAATTACTGTGCATAGTATGAGACGGACACGGAGAATGTGGCAAGTAAAAGTCCGGGAAAAAACAAGTAACTTTTCTCATAATTACTGTACGGTAATATTTGTGGTAAACAATATGGCGGAGAAAAAAAAAACACTTTTTGTATCAGAATGACACAATACAGATCAGCTATCATTAACTTTAAGTCTGATCAACCAGTACATTCCAATTCAGCTGGTCTGGCAAATGTTAGTTATTGTAATAGACTATAATGCCAATTGGAGCGGCAAAAGTCGTGTAAGGATGAAGAAAATCACCTGGAACTTTAAAGGATTATAACTTGGAACCACTCAATTTTAGGAACGTTCTCCCTGTACAGTAAATTAATCTAATGGCATTTAACCCACGACACTGGGATTGGAAATGGAGTTTTATTTTGTTAAGACTAACCTCGTAACCCCGTCAACTTCAAATGAGGAATTCGTCGTAGAAGTTTATTCCTTTCTGCAACTAATCGACAGCCCGCATGTTTACATTAAAACTATATTAATGGGACCTGTGTCTATATTATTTTAATGATGCCGGATGATTTGATTTGTGGCCCAAATTCATTCCAGGAAAAAAATGTTCTATTTATTACAAATTCGACTGGCAACTGTCCAAGAAGAAACCATGGGCCAAGGGCACAACACGAAAGTGGGAACCTCTTGACCTTATTTCTGATTTATATCGAGCTGAGTGTTTCCTTTTTAGGGCGTGCGAGTTTACAGATGTGTTTGTTGGCCTAAATTAATTCCATGAGAAAACAACCGGCCAACTTATGAAGTCGAAACACACATGCTCACATAATATATCATAAAAGGAAATTCATGAAAATGAGGGTTACTGTTCTTTAAAGATTACGAAAATTGATAGCTCCGAGTTATTAAAACACGGAAAAAGTAGTACAAAGCGTTAAGTGACTTAACGCTGAGGAATGTCACAGACGTGTCCGAAATATTCGTTTGAAGTAAATGTTATGTCTATATTGTCAACGTATGCAATTGTTTTAATTTTGTATTTCACTACATATACATATACATACATATACACATACTCATATACACCCCTACACACCCCTTAAGACAATTAAACAATCCTCTTCACTATCGGAAGCTCACAGAGGACCCCACTCCGGAAATTTCTAAGGAAGTGGAAAAATCTGTATTAAAGATGGTTAAAAAAGGTTCCATCGATCCAAAAATTGGATCCCATCTAATCCAGGTCGATCCGACACCAGGACGTTTCTATGTCCTACCCAAAATCCACAAAGCAGGCCA